GACCTGGATGCTCCAAAAAGCCTCCAAATGGGAGAATGAAAGTACAACTGTTTTGTCAAACCAGTAAATTTTTTTGACTGTAAATAAGTTTGATGTTTTATTTGTGCTCCTTATGAAATAATAATCAGTAATTGATAAGATTTTACAAGCAGTATTTGTTTAAACACTTTGGTGAAACAAGTAGAGCATCCTGTTTCCTAAACATTTAGTTTATCTTTGTTCCAGCCTCTAACACAGTGGTTCTGTTTCATTTTATTATTAGACCATGGATCAAACATGCATCCTCTAGTTGGTTAGGGCTGCACAACAGATGGGGTATATTCACTACTTCACTACTTCCTGCACTTCAGCTAGCTACTTAGTTTCCTGTTTTTCATTACTGGTCAAGCTGATTAATCCAGGTGTGTCTGACCTCAGTAACCATGATGATATTAGCCAGACACACTTGGATTAATCAGTCTTTCCACTAATAAAAGACAGGGAACTAAGTAGCTAGCTTAAGTTCAGGAAGTGGTGGAGTTTGGCATATAATGCAATCGCTCTGTATCTTTATCACAATTTACTGTATGTAAGACAGATAAGGAAGAACTGTCACATAAATGTTTGCTTATTATTCATCTGTCATGTAGTTGAGGTTTCTAGGCCTGTAATACTGTATACTCAATGATGCTTGCTTACTGCAGCATAAACAGTTTTCTAAGCTGAAGTGGTGGTTATGTGTTCATAACAAAGAATCAAACATCAGCCTGATTGAACCTTGTTTAAAATAAAATAAAATAAATGTAAAGATGAAAACCTTCAATTTACTTGTTTCCGCATAGCTGGATAGACTACTGACTTTTGGAGGTTAACATTGGCTATAAACCCAAAACATAAAGACATGAATCCTTGAAACCAACTTTTCTTTATCTCCATTTGCTACCGTAATCTACTTTCTGTTTTCTTTTCTTAAGCTTCATTCATGTACAGCACTTTGAATTGTCTTGTAACTGAAATATGCTATAGAAATAAATGTGCTATTGAAATAAACTTGCTAAAACCCTTTATTTTTATGTTTAAAGCAGTCATATAATTATGCCAGCATTCACCATTTAAACCATATATGATATGTTTTATTAAAATATGGTGTAATGTTGCGCTCACTGTAAAAAATCTAAGATGAATCTTTCTAACATACATAAACAGCTTTCCTCTGTATCAGAAGATTCAGAAAGAGGACAAATATAATAAAAATAAAATTAGTTTCCTTCTTATGTCTTCAAGGAAATTGGGAATGTATTTCTTTTTAAATAAGTATATAAACAAATTAATAATTGTCTGCTACTGTGTGAGGAAAAAGTGCATTAATTAAAGCAGGTTCAATATTTGTTGAAAAGTTTTTCTTCATACATTTTACTTTATTAACCTAATAGGCACACAATAAAAATGTATCACCACTGAGATAGATTTATGTTGCCTCTGTTACTCAGTTAGTCTGCTGTTTCTCAGCTCAGGTCTCTAATAACTGGGGATCAGTTAGAATATCTCTAAGGATCATTGGATGAGACTTTCCTCTATCAGTACAACTTTCAGGATGAGTCGCCTAAATTAACATAATTTGCATCTGCAGCTCCATAAAGCCCAGGAGGAAACATCTGTTGGCTGTGTTTCCATTGTGTTTCTTTTCATTAACTATTTACTTTATAACTTTAGGTGAACCAAACTGTTGAAATGGACAACCAGTTCCTGTTTAATACTAGTTAAAAATCACCAGATTTTTTTCTCTGAAAGGATCTTTTGTAAATAGAATTAAAGTCTTTAGTCTGAGAGCAAAGATTAAGTCTGACTTTAACGGTCTGTTGATAAACCCAACTACACCTGCTTATCTGGTTTGTGTTCAAACAAAGGATTAAGTTTTATTCAAATTCAAACTGACATGGCATAAAAGATTAAATAATTTCTCAGGTTACACTTTATTATTTTGAAAGAGTCCAAGATGAATAGAAGTAAAGAAAATGCTTGCAGTTTAAAAGAACAGCCTGGAAGACAGAAACGTTTTCCCTGTTTTGGATATTTACACTGATCAGTAGAAATGGGGCCAAAAAAAGTTGCATCTGTTCGGGTTTGACCCCACCCACCCCATCCATCTGCTCTGCTTAGTAAAGACATCTGTGTTTGTGTGGTCGCCATATACAGGATATCAAGCTGAACCAGTTTTTTTGCTCATTCAACAAAGTTGCAGCATGCAAACCTCGTGGCTCATAGAGGGATGATCACTGACGGACCTGAGGCTGATATGAATTATTTATTATTAAAGGAAATAAAAGGAAGAAGCAGCTAAAACATATTTTAACCATGTAAGTATGTTTTGAACAGTTCATCCTATTTTTTCTTACTTTGTATCCTTTCTATTGTCGTTTTTTTCAATGATTGGATTTTTTCTTTGTTGTTCACAAGTAATGAAACTGCTCCTAAATTGGTGTCGATCATCAACATATTAAAATTTTATCTCAAAGAGAGACTTTTTTTTTGATACATGAAAACATTTTTGCTGCGTTAAGTCAGTGGCTTGGTCTAAACTTACGGAGCCCCTAAAGGGACATGGAGGGGAAAAAAAGAACTTTTGCGAGATCCTGCAATAGTTTTGCAAGATCTCGCAATACTTTTGCGACATCTCGCAAAACTATTGCGGGATCTCGCAAAAGTTTATTTTTTCCCTCCATGTCCCTTTAGGGGCTCCGTATAAATTAAATAAAGTTGATTGTAAGAAATGAAACAATAGATTGATAGTTTTGTTTCTGAATTTAGTTTCTGTATTTGTATAAATGCCTGTCTTGCAAACTAACATTTATTTGATTAAAAATACGAAAATAGAAAATAAATAACAGTGTTTCATGTGACTACCCTTCTGTTTGAACTGCATTTTTTTAAAGACTGATTTTAGTTGATAGCCTTTTCTTATGCAGCTCCAATCTGACATTAATGCATTGTGTTTAACTGATCATCCTTCAGATGCATAACTAATACTCACTTATGAAAAAATTTGTTTATTGGACAGAATTTGAAAGTTGGATGCAGTATGAAAGGACAATAAAACAATAGTGAAAGCACCTTTTTACACATTTTACAGATTTTGCCAACAAGTTAAAGCTATTTTCAAGACTGATCCTGTGCTAAAGACCCAAGAGTATAACGATGTGCATTTTATTTTAACAATTCAAGCGGACCCAGTGGCTGGCCAATAACTAAGTAAGGCTGTAAGCAAAACTAAATTTCACCTTGGACCTGTTTTAAAGAAGGAAAGCAAAATGAGTTCAGATATCTTAAAAATATTCTTGAAATTAATTTCAAATTCAACTAGGGTTAACGTCTTATCTGACAGATTTTTTTCTGGCTGCTTTTTCCAGTTTACACTTATTTTGAGATCTTTAGATGAGGGTCATTTTTATTAAATAAATAGAATTGAGATTTCCAAACAGTGAACAAATGTTTTATATCATATCCCCAGAAATACCTGAATTAAGAATTAGCCGCAAGCGGAAAAAAATTAATCCCAATTGTTTTTCTATTGTTAGATTATCATCAACAGAACAACACAAGGCCATATTATCATCAAGACTATTTAACAATACCACTGGTGAGTAACTGCTAATATTTATTTTTAAAAAACTACTGTCCAGTCCTCTATATAAATCAACTATATGCTTCTAATAGCAGTTGATAATCCAATCTATTATCACACTCCTCCCTCAGCACTAACGCTTCAGGGTCACAAGGAGCTTAATGTAGATTTCTTTGGACAAGAAAGGTATACCATGGTCCAATCTTTCCCTATACTATTGTTGAGTAAAAGTTCTCAGTTTTACTTCCTTTATATATAAAAAGGAAGCAGATGGCTTAACGGACGGTATATGTGGCAATGACACATATACCGTCCGTATATGTGTCATTAAAGGTCCCCTTAATAAAAAAGCAGAACAGCAGCTAACAAGGAAACAACTATTCAAAATTTAATAATCTTACATTTTTGTTGTGACACACAACTTAAAAAAAAAAGAAAATATGACGCATGATTTAAAATTTACTTTTTAATACGATACCAATTCTGTAACAGAATAAGAAAGATATTCAAGATTGAGACACAACTAACCTCACATCCTCTTCAAACACCACTCCAAAGTCCAAAACAAACTTGTTCAGTTATTTTAAATACATTTTATCTGTGAAATGTGTTGATTTTAGTATTTTATTGTTGTTGGAGACTTAAGCTTTAACATCAACAATCCTGAAGACAGAGATGCTACAGAATGATGTGATAATATTAGAATTGGTTAAACAGAAACTTGCAAATGAGGTCATATTTCGGACTTGATCATCACTAAGGGTCTAAACATTTCTAAGTTATCTGTAACTGATATTGCCTTGATGTTTGAACACTTTTTGAATTATTTTTTTTCTTTTAAAACTCTTTAAACACAAAGCAAACATTAGTTACATTCTTGGTTGAAGATACTGTACGTTTAGAAAGCATAATTTCCAATAACTCAGCCAATGATAAGCAAACACACCTTTTAAGGAGGGTGCTACTGAAAGGAGCTTAGTGCATTATTTGAAACTGTTGATCTACATTTTATTGGAACTAGGTTAGCCTCTTTGGCATAGCTTTCACTTTCTGTGGAGCTTTGTAGAAGAGCCAAAAGTAGAAATGGTTTCGTGCAGTTTTGATGGTAAGGAAAAATTTACAAAATTTCAGGAATGGAACTCAGGAACCAAAACTAGGAGACACTACATAGGATAAACTATGGGTCAGTTTTGTATACGTTTTGAGAAAGCTGAAGCACACTGAAACACACTGGCACAAGTTGACTTACAGAGAGTACATCAAAAAATTTTAAACATGCTCAAAATTTCCCAAAAATGCCAGCATATGCTCATGTGTGGGACATAAGTTACAGGTAAGTTATGTGATCATTGACATACGATAGGTGTAAGTAGGTTGTTAACAGCAAATAGGTTAGTACAATGATGAAATCAATCTTTTTATGCAGGCCATGGCACTTCTGGGTGCATTGCTGCCCCCCTCAGGACACTGGCTTGTGACATTTCATGTGCATAACCCTGCTGTGCATTATGCATAAGTTAGGCTGTTGTTGGACATAACTTCTGGACTCGTTATGAATACGCTATGTGTACGCCAGAAACTGAAAAAATACATAGAAACTTCAGCTTATGCCAGCGTTTTAGAAGATTCTGGGATGTCAGGCATACGCTGTCTAAATTGACAAGGTGTGACAGGGCCCTGATGAAGCAAATACAGCAATGCATCGGAGAATTATATATAGGGGTGACAGAACAAAGAGTGGAACAATTTTGTTAATCGGGAGCAGGTGTGGACTGAAAAATCTAGAAAGGAGCTAATATGTGGGACAAATTTCTGAATTTGATTATGCGGATATTCACTGATGTAGCTGAAAGGCAAAACATCCTCAAAACATCAATCAATCCCCATTTTTCTGGAAGGATTGATGGATGGATGAATGAAACTGAAGTGCGTACATATTAGGAAAACATGATATATTGCTTTTGGCATCGAATCAGTTGTTATTCGTCCTTTTTTTGAATACATTATTGTCTAACTACCCATAGATATCAAGCCTAGGCAGAAGTTCAATTGAAGAAACTGATTGCTCACCTACGTCCATGTGCGACACAGCCAATCAGTTTTGAACCACACTGGAAGCCGATCGGCATCCAAAGTTTGTCATAAAAGGCCTCCCATCCACAACTCGTCTTCTACCTAGTGCGGAGGTGGTGGTTGAGCTGTGTGACTTCATTCCGATGACCCCGTTCAACCCACCTCCAGCCCCTCCTCCATTGTAACTAAAGCTTCTTTGGAGTTTCCTTGCTCCCAGACTCTTACTGAGTTCCGGGTTTCATTTCTACTGGTCTGGCAGAAAACCGCCATGTTGAAGCTGGTTCTGCCAGAGGTTTCTCCCCAATGGGGAGTTTTTCCTCTCCACTATCGCTTCATGCTTGCTCATCATGGACAGGTCCTCTCAACCCGTGTTATCCAAACTGGACTTCCATCTTCTAGGTACCTGAGTGAAGCTCTAGAATCAGCCCACGCAGTCCACTGGATCTCCCCATAAAGCTCAGCAGACCGTCTCTCTAACCAGCAGTCTACAGACTGACCAACTTCCTCTATCTCCACTCCACCACCAGTTTCAGGCCTGGAGGGGGGAGAGTCCTATTCATTGCTCCTGTTCATGCATATCTATCAAAATGCAGCTCTATGTTTTCTGCTGAGGTCTGAGCGCCAAAGACCAAATAATTGCATCAATAATTTCTTCTAATTGTTTTTTCTCTTCTTGTGAGTTTTTCAGAATGAAATAAATATTAGTGTATTTTGGTTCTTTTGTGTTCTCAACAATAGAAAAGCATTCAATAATAAATGTTAAAGCTCACTTTTGGAAAATACAAACCCTATTGAAAATGTTTGTGTTGACTAACTGTAGCTTCCATCAACTGCCAGCTTAGAATGTCCCCACCAACTTTCATCACAAAGTTTCAATAGCCCTCAGTTGGTTTAAAGTCGACTTGAAAGAAAGTGCCTTTTTGTCAGCCTCATGTCATCACCAAGCGTCCATCTTCGGGCCTAGGGGGTGTATGGCTCTACTGCAGTGTAGCAGAGTCTGTGCACTGCAGTGCACATACACAGACAGGCACAATTATAATTCATATTATCAAAGCTTTACTAAAGCAATCCTTTACAACATGTATTTCTTTCCAAACCTGCATTAAAATATGGTTCCAAACAAAAGACAAACATATAGTTTTCCTTGTGTCTGCAGCATCAACAATGTCTGACAAGAAGAGGCGAAAGACGTCTGCAACAGAGAGCACGGCCACTAATGTGTCCTCAGAGTCAACAGTTTGGTAATAATTGATTAATGTGCTTTACCATGCCAGCACATATTTTTCTAGAACAGATTTAGAGTTGTCATGTGTGTTTAGCAAGAAATGTATGATTCTGCTCCTGTTGCTTAATTTTAATCTGTGCGTGAGTAAGATGAAAATAAAATCTGTTTCTAGTCCTCAGAAGGATGCTGAGAGCTCAACAAGCCCAAGCCGTGTCTCTCTTAAGAGCGCCACTTCCATGTTTTTGCCATTTGACTTCAGGGAAGGCAGGTTAAAAAGGTAAGTAAAAGCTAATAGAGAAAACAAGTGTAAAATTGAAATTGCTGATTAAAAGAAAACTGAAATAAGGACCATGATAAAAGTACCAAGAAAAATGTCACGTTAGTGTAACAGGGAAACAATGAAATGAACTACCGTAGTTAAGAAACTTGTCAGTGTGTGCTAAATAGCATAGTTTTTACTTCCAACTCTTAGGGTGCTTTAACACTGAGCACGAGGTCCTTGGCAAGGACAGTGGATTTACATGGCATCCCAATGCAAACTACAGGGGCAAGAGCAGCCACAGGGCCAACAGTGACATCGATACGATGAGAGGATTCCCCAATCCGCTCTCTCTTCGTGGTACCGCTGCTTGACAACATCACAGTGCCATCAATCAGCATGCGGTGAGAGCTGAGCAGTAACCACAGAAGTTGAAAATATGAATTTTAGGGGGAATTTGCGAAAGCAGGTTTAGTTTTTTAGGGGGTTGCTTGTGCAGATATGTGCAGTTAAGGCTTTAGATTTTACTGCTTTAGTTTTAAAGATATAATCGTTTTTAATTCAGGCAAAAGATGTCACCTTCTGACAGGAATGCTCCTAGACAAACCAAAGTGGAATACTATTTCAATGCTTCTTGGGGTTTCTCAAAACATGACGGCCTTCCCAAGCTCATTCAAAAGTTTTGCATAGTGAGAATTTAGCAGCAGTCTGTAATGTTATGTTTCACCTTAGAGTTCCTAAGTTTTAAACGCACAAAGAGGAACATTTTTAAATGTCCTTTTTTATTGACATGTAAAATGTAATAGTTCAGGAAAGTTTGTGAAAAAACAATAAATCCTTTCTGTATGTTATCATATCTATGTATTCAACTTTAGGAAAACAAGTGATTAAAAAATACACATGTGCAAGATACAATTTATACTCCTCTGCTACACAATGGTGCAAAGGTGATGAAGATTTTTGACTTTTCTTTAAGAAAGAATACTTAGGTGTTACAGAAACGTGTTTTCAATTCTTGAATTTTAAGATTATTAAAGATTATTTTAAATGCATAAGTCTGTCATGTATGACTCTTTTTTAATTTAAACCAGGGGACTAAAGAAACAAGGGCAAACAGGAGGTTTGGAGATAATTATGAACCCCACCAGGAATAGAATAGTAAAAATAGTGCTTATTTTGGTTTAGAATATAATTTTACTTTGTAAAAATGCACGACACAGTCAAAAAAGAAAAAAGGTAATATTTAAACATTATTTAACTAAAGCACAGATTTAAGTAAAGGAAATGCTGATTAATGATATAAGCATTTTGTTTTACATTTTCAATCATAACTACAATAATAACTTAAAAGTAATATAAATCTTCTACTGATCTGGCCATTCCTGCTTTTTTTTTTTTTTACAGTGAGAAACCCAGGGAAGAGCTTACAGGCTGTGCATTATCTAAAGAGCCACTAACAGATTCAGCGAACTCTATGTGTGGACACCTGTCATGTGGGCATTGTGGCACTTTGGTATTGGAACAGGTTGAATCACCGAAAAGTTCCTTCTGCTTGAAGTGTGGTGAGAAATTATCAAAAGACACAGATAAAGACACAGGTAAGTTTAAAAAGCCAATTACAGACTTATATTAGAATTCATTGAATGTTTTACTGTATAAGCAATACCAAAGAAAAATATTCAAAGTTTTTTTTTTATAGGCAGAAAGCACACAGGCCCAGTTTAATACTTTTATCAGTAACGTGTACATGTTTTAGATTTGTGATTAATGAAACTCTAATACACTTGTTTAATTTTGAAATGATTTAAAAAAACAAAAAAACTGTTTGTTGAGATAATTCATACATCTGCAACACCCACAGACCAAGATCAGGGTCAAAAATGTTCTTGCAATATAAAATACTTGGAGTTATATTTACACAGAGCATGAGTCAGGCTTTGATACTGTTGTAGTAGCCGAGTTCTGAGGGTATTTGCTTGCTTCTTGTCCTTCTCCGATTTTCATTAAGTTGTTGTCATCTGATATTATCACATGGAAATTCATAACTTGGTGCTGTCTGATAATATATCCATGAATATTATTTATTTAATGCTGAATAGTGATCCTAATGATTACTTCATTTCGTTCACTTAATGTGTATCCTTAAGCGGGCTTTGGGCTTAGTTGAAAGTTCATTGCTTTCCTGAAACGGTTGTATTTTAGTCATTCCAAAAAAAAAAAGAAAAAAAAAAAAACCAAAAAAAAAAAAAAATTCCAAAAAAAAAAAAAGTAAAAAAAAAAAACCCAAACCACTGGACTTTGTTTTCCAAGTCTGAAGATGTTTCGCTTCCCATCCAGGAAGCTTTTCTAATTGAACCTACACAGAGGGGGTGGACTCAGGTTTCAGCTCTCAAAAACCTACGACACAGCGATGGAGTTTATTCCTTCCAGCCATCATAATCCTCATTGCCATGCAGAGAACTAAGACATCTCGCCTGGTCAGCCAGGCATAAAATGCCGCTAACGACTCCCCCCTTTTCAGAGGCACAGGCCAGTATGGGGTATTGCAGGCTAACAAAGACCTCAACGACTCCTCATTCATAAGGGGCGGACCTGTTCTTCAAATTCAATTTGCATGTTTTCTAAGCTATATCAAGGCTTTGTTTTTGGTCTACGCTTATAACTCAGCGCTAATCCAGACATTTTGAATCGAAAAAGCTTCCTGGATGGGAGGCAAAACATCTTTAAACTTGGGGGGAAAAAAGTCCTGTGGATATTTTTTTTTTTTTTTGGAATGGCTATGACCTGGATGACTGGGAATATTCACCAGCGGTTGTATTTTAGGACATTTTTTCCTTTGTTTAAAACTCATGTGATCTGCATTTGATTTCAGGAAACAATGTCATTTTGGAAGCAAAGAGAAATCTCCAAAATGCATTGAAAAATAAATTCACATTAACATCAGAAGGCAACGGTGATCAGCGCAATCCCCTTAAAAGCATCTACACAACACTGTTCATCACCACAGGAGAGAATGATAAACAAAATGAAGAACATGAATACAAACGGCTCAAACATGCTCGGAGAGGTCAACCCTCATCTGATTGTTTAGTCAATCTTAATGAGATCTTCAAACTGATGCCTGAACAACAGAAACCACACAGAACAGTCCTTACAAAGGGAGTTGCTGGTATTGGAAAATCATTTGCAGTCCAAAAGTTTATCCTTGACTGGGCTGAAAGGGAAGCAAACCAAGAGACTGATTTTATTCTCTGCCTTGCCTTCAGAGAATTGAACTTGATTACAGGAGAAAAAAGCCTCCATGAGCTGCTGACTGAGTTTCACCCAGAACTACAACCCTTAAAAGATCATCAAGAATATGCCAAAGCAAAGGTTATAGTGATCCTCGATGGTCTAGATGAGATCAAACACCAGCTGGACTTTGGTTCCTCAACCAAAGTAACTTCTCTAAGTGATGTCACATCTGTAGGTAACCTTCTTGTAAACCTCATCAAGGGTAACCTCCTTCCTGATGCAAACGTCTGGATAACTTCCCGTCCAGCAGCAGCCAGTCAGATCCCTGCAGAGTACATTGACATGGTGACAGAGATAAGAGGGTTCACTGATGCTCAGAAAGGTGAATATTTTCAAAGGAGATTTAGGGATAATTCTGTCGCTAACAGAATAACATCATATATTCAGTCGTCACAAAACCTTGACAACATGTGCCAGATCCCAGTATTCTGTTGGATTACCGCTGTCTTATTTGAAGAAGTCTTTGGCAAAAATGAAGAAACACAAGTTCCCCAAACTCTGACAGAGTTGATGTCACATTTTGTGTTTGCACAGACAAAACGTAGAAGCAGAAAATATGATCGGAACCCAGAGAAAAACAGAGAGAAGCTCCTAAAGACTCATAGAGAGTTCCTTCTGAAACTTGGAAAGCTTGCATTTGTCCAGCTTTTAGAAAACAAACTCATCTTCTATGAAGAAGACCTGGAAGACTGTGGCATTGACGTTGCAGAAGCATCAATCTACTCCGGTTTATGCAACACTGTTCTCCGGGAAGAGGAAGTCTTCTCCCAGAGAAAGGTCTTTTTCTTTGTCCATCTTACTCTTCAAGAGTTCTTTGCCGCTCTACATGTCTATGAGTGTTTGAAAAACAAGAAAAACAATGAACTTAAGGATTTCCTTTCTATAGAGGAAAAAGACCCATCTGTACTTGATTTATTGAAGATGACCGTTGACAAAGTTCTGGAGAAGAGGAACGGCCACTTAGACTTTTTCCTGCGATTTCTTCTTGGCCTAATGGTTGAACCCAACCAGAGATTCCTCCAGGGTCTGTTGACTCCACTTGACCAATGGGATGACATTGACAGGAAAATCCTAACTTACCTGAGATCTATTCGAAGAAAAACTCTCTCTCCAGACAGCTGTATCAACATCTTCCAGACCATGATTGAAATGAGAGATCACAGGGTCAAAGATGAGATTCAGGAATATCTTCAACTTTCTGACCATTCAGACATGGAACTGGCTCCTTTGCACTGCTCTGCTTTGGCCTACATGCTGCAGATGTCCAAGAATGATCTGGAATTACTAGATCTAAAGAGCTACAAAGCATCAGATGATGGTAGAAGGAGATTGATACCAGCTGTGACGAGCAGCAAAAAAGCAGTGTAAGCCCATCTCTTGTCTTAATGTTGTTTACAATATTCTTCAAATGTCAGTGGGTATGATTCTGGGTTTGTTGTAAATTTGCTCAACACTGAGCCTTAGGGCTCAAGTCCTACAGTTTTAGACATTTCTTTGATTCAGCAAGTCTGATCCAAATGCATACTATCTACTACTGAGAAAGTTTTTACCAAACCATTTAATTAAGCCTTGAGATGAGAAACCAAAGTGGTTCTCAAGTAAAATAACATATCTTATTTCTCCCATGTAACCTTAAGATACACTGAGATATTAGCAGTATCAATACTGATACTAATAATCTTGTAACACCTTTCCTCAGGCTTGCAAATTGCAAAGTAACAGCCCATTGGATGGAACACCTGGCAAATGCTCTTAGCTTCTCCTACTCAGCTCTGCGTGATCTCGACTTGAGCAACAATGACCTGAGGGATTCAGGAGTGGAGCAGCTTTGTCATGGGCTCTCCAGTAAGTCCTGCAAACTGGAGATACTAAGGTAACAAATGTAAAGTGAAATGATAATGTTTTACTTGAACTATTTAGATCTTGAATATCACACGTTAAAAACAGAGTGCCAAGAACCAATGGTGTTCACCTTATTTTCATACTTAACAGTCCGTCTCCATATCCTGATCAATGGCACAGCTGTTTTCAGACACAGTGCAAGAAAAAAGAGCTCTGCACAGATATGGCGAGAAGAAGCAGCAAAAAGAAAAGAAAACATCAAAAAACGTTATTTTATTACCCCAGATTAGGGGGTCTTTAAAAAGCAGGATCCTATCACAGAACCAGGCTGGTATTCGCTGAACTCCTGCAAATGACCTGTTCTTTCACAAATGTTTGTAGAAACAGTCTACATGTCTAGGCGTTTGATTTTATAGACATATTGCCATAGAAGTGACTGAAACACCCGATCTTAAGTCATTTGGACAATGACTATTGGCAATATATTGTATCTGTAGACTTCCTGCATTGTGGTAAAGAGGTCACCCCATGTTCTCTCAGTCAAAGATGTTTGGGAACACCTTTGTGTTTGATTCTAGTCCAAAGCAGACCTGATGTATGTTGACAGCCACTTTCTGAAGCAGAAGGATAGAGAAAATAAACCAATCAAGTTAAAACTGGTATCCATGCCAACAGAATATCCGTACTCAGCTTACCCTGAATCCTCAGTGTGCCTATACTGCAGAGTGTCATGATTTTATCTAGAGCTCTGACCCAAATGCAGAAGACCAAACAGAGAGACCAGGGAAAAGTTTAACAGGTTTTATTTAGAGCAAGTAGAGAGGAGTCCAGTGCTGCTCTGAACACTGTCGAACCGGGACTGAAAAGTGAAGGGGAAGATTCTGCTGTTAGTTCAGGCTCAGTGGGAAATTTGTGTTTCTTGATTAAAGAAGGGAATTAAGGCAACAGGACTCACGTTTCCAGGAAAAGGTGTCTCTTGTTGAATCCAATTGTTGTTCTGAATGACTTGCTCGTTGGAGGGCGGACAGGGTTTACCCAGATGCAGTTTTTCCTTCAGGAACGGAGGAGCTGACTGTTACTTAATTTTCCTGCGGTACTTGAACGGTACTTGTCGAGATGAATCCCCTGCTCAGAGAGACGCCCAAACAATCCTTGGGGCAAAAGTAGATCGAAACCATAAGCTCGAATCCTCAGCTCAGTTTGGAGCTCAGAGAATCCTTCCAGGGGGGAGAAGGTCCAAAACATCCAGTTTTGCAGGATGACAAAAAAACAGCAAGATTAAAACTCAGGTAGACAAAAACTCAGTTTGACTCAGCAAAACTCAGCTTGGCTAGAGTACCCCAAACTGGCAAACACTCTGGCGTCGAGGTAGTGGCAGCCAGCAGCTTAAGAGTCCTCAGGTAGTGGTCCAAAGAGCTGCAGGTGTGCAGGGAGGCCCAAAGAGGACGGGTCACCACCTGGTGGAGGAGAAAAGGAAACACAAAAACAACCCACAAAACTGAGTTCACCAACCATTTCATCAGATATTGTAATCTTTGCTCCGTAGACTCGTAACCTTTCAATACATGCAGTTTTATTATTTGTATCTCACTTATTTTTGGTGCTTAATTATTTTGTCATTAATTACATGTTGTAAGAAAAAGAATATGTCTTCAACAGTCTTAAATTGCAATGGAACATGATGGCTGTCTTTATACTCTTCTAAACCACACAATATTTTCATCTTCATGCACTTTTTTTAGGCTGTCTGGTTGTTTGGTCACAGAAAATGGCTGCAAACATCTGGTCCTGGCTCTTCGGTCCAACCCCTTCCACCTGATGGAGCTGGACCTGAGCTACAACCATCCAGGAGATTCTGGAGCTAAGCTGCTGTCTGAGCTGAAGGATGATCCACAGTACAAGCTCAGCAAGCTCAAGTAATTATCAGTCAGAAAACACTAGAACTAAAAACTTAAACTGGCTTTAAATCCATTTAATGTGTTACTCTCTACCTTTACAGCCTTCGCTATGCTGGGACTCACAGATTAAAGGCTGGCTTTAAAAAATGTATGTAATCTCTGTACATAAATATATTCTATTATGACCATAATGAACATTCTACTATTTTTATTTCTTCTATAAGTTTGTGTTTTAATAATATTTTTTTTCCCAGATGCCTGTGAACTCACTTTTAGCCCTGATGCAGCCCACCAGAACCTGGTTCTGTCTGAGGGAAACAGAAAGGTGACTTGGTTGGAGGATGATCCGCCTCATCTTCATCCCATAGAACACTCTGATCGTCACCAACAGGTGCTTTGTAATCAGGCGCTAACAGGGCGCCATTACTGGGAGGTGGAGGTCTCTGGATCTTTAAGCATTGGGGTCACACATGAGGATGCGTTAAAGAAAGGGAAGATGGGGGATTTCAAGATGGGGCATAATAAGGATTCCTGGTGTTTGGTTTGTTCCTATGATGGTTTCCATGTTTTGCATCACAGCCACAGACTAGACGTGCCTTCCCTTGGATGGCGCACCAGTCGGTTGGGGGTGTATCTTGACTGGCCTGGTGGTACTTTGTCTTTCTACAGAGTTTCCTCTGACAGTTTGATCCATCTGTATACTTTCAAAGGAGCTTTCAGTGAGCCTCTTTATCCTGCAGTGGAACTTAACATCCTGTCATCCGCCGTATTTTGTCATCTAAACTAAACTAAATGGGCCACTTTACATATGCATGTGCGTGTTCTCAATTATCAGGGCGATCATTTGAAAAAGATTTGGTTTTTAATTTAGAAGTTTACTATTATTTGAAACTGCTTCTCAGTGTTACTGCACCTTGAATTGCTTTTAATCTTAATTTCGAATTACATACTTAGCCTATAAGCCTGAATGAAATGTATCAAAACTAATGAAAATTCAGTTAGACTTTTTGTTTTCTTTTCTTTTCTAAAAGACAACTTAATTATGCGTGGAGTTCAGTGGATTTGGGTTTATTGGTGGGAGGTGGGCTTGGTTTTTAGGCATGCAGTGTCGGCAGTGGGGATACATATTAAGGTAGTAGGTGGGTACACGTTTTGGTTTGCTTTTAACATTTTTCTGGTTTTTAAAGTATTGCAAGTAGTTCAGTTTGGATGTAAATTGGCGCTCATGCAGCTCTGTGGAAAACTATTACATTTAAATTAAATTGAAGCATCTAGAACTGACTCCAGAGGGCCGAAATGGTGACTTTGTTGATGTAGTGGAGCTACAGGCAGCTCCTGCATCATCTGACAGTGTTTAAGAGTAATTATTTGAGATCAACAGATGTAGAGGTTGTGTGGTTAACATGTTTAACACGTTTAACAGCAACCAGTTCAACAGAAGCTGCAATACCATTTTTCAGAATTTGGTCATATACATCTAACATGTTGCAAAATGCAGCAAACATCTCTCCTATATGAAAGCATTAATACACAAAAGCTGCATGTTTGTCAGATTAAATCTATATTTCAACTTAAAGGAGTGCTTCCATTTTCATATATTAATGTTATTTCTTTTAGCTATTAAAGATTTTTGAGAAAATGTTTGGTTCAGTTAGATTTAAGTATCTTGTTGGTTTCTGTGTGATTTTTGCTTTACCTTTTGTTTTGTCTTTTGTTGAATTGAATGGATGAAGCCATACAGCTAAGGAAAAAAAATACTCTCCAGATATTTATCACAAAATTTTAGAAAAACAATAAAGGTCCAAACAGCTGTTTTTTAATTGTTCATCACTGAAAATGGCAGCTCTGGACATTTTGGGGATTATGATCACAGTATTTCTATGTAACATGCTTCTTTCAAATGATGTCATTTGATGTGAAATTCTCATTGTGTGTTTTATTGATGTGAAGCGAATTAGAGCATTTATACATACGAGCGTCATTAAGGAAATTATAATTTACATTGATCTCACATAGATCTACACTGATCTCACAACTTCTGCAGCATTTCTTCTGACTGATTGTTTTCCAAAGTATCGACAAAACAAACAATTATTTGCACAAAACAAAAAGGAGTCTTATTAACATTATTTTTAGTAAGGGTTTTTTTTTATTATAACATTTGTGTCATACAGCAACTCTGATTTACTTCTAACTTCAAGACTGCTGAAAATTAAAAAGTATGGCAGAAATCAGTCAAAGAGGATAGAAATTCATTTTATTTTCTTTGAATGGCTTGTTTTATGATGTAACAAGGTGCTTTTAACACATTTTAATGTGTTTTTTTTTTGTGTTCAAATGTGTTCAAAACCAACTGGTGTTATTTTGTGAAAGATAATTGGTGCTACATCTGATCAAATAATGTCAACCAGTGTGTTTAACTCTGTGGTGCTTAATATTACTGAGCGCTCCTGAAATCAATCGAACCTAAAGGGACGGTTTGGGGTCTTCTTTCAGCACATCTGACTCTGTATCATGCATGTTCTCTGACCTCTGTATGAGTGATAAAAGGCAGCTTTACGGAGGCTCTGAGGTGCTGGTTTGTGTTGATTATTTTCTCCATTGTTTGTTTTTATTTTCTATATAAACATCTGTTAGCCAAACCTTGGAGAGGAGGCATTTTTCAGGGAATAAAAGATTGTAAAAGTTATTTTTAAACAGCTTTATTAGTGCTCTGTGTTTTTTTTTTTTTTTGGAATCCCATTTGTGTTTTTATAATTTACCATTTGTGTTTTAAAGTTTTGATAATAAATATGAAAAAATAAAATAAAATGTATGTTTCATCATTTGATATGTTTTTTCATTTTCTTTCATCCTGTAATTTTTTTTTTAGCATTATCATGAATAGCATTATAATTTCTGACTTTCATTTGTCATGGATAGCAGTTAAATGAAGGCAGAAATCTCCATTGTATTGTATAGGAACATATCCAGTCAATACATATCTATTACCAGCAGGGGGCAGCTCTGAGTAGTTTGGCTTTCTTAGTCTTAATCTGTCACATTTTATTGGGATCAACTGGATCAGCCAGAGGAAAACATTCACACTTGATGTAAATAAAGCATTTTTTAAGATCTTCTGAAAATTTCATTTTGTATTGGATTATGAGATATAATTATGGCCTTATTACATTAAAAATGTCTTTAAAATCAGTAAGGAGACAATAAAAGTAAACAAAAATGCATTGGAGAACGTGATTATGGCCTAGAGGCAATCAAAGTGCATTGTTGTCTAGAAACAAAATAAAGGTCAAGTTAGAAAAGAAGCTAAACTGATTGACTTTTAAATTACTTGTTTTGGTTTGAAATGCATCAAAAGTTATACTCAATAGCTTTTAATGCTGCAGAAATGATTAAGTTACAATTTGAGATATATAAAATATCTGCTTTGAGACGTCCCCTTTGGTAAATAAACAATAAGGGTAATTATAAGGAAATTATTTGCAAAATGAGCAAAATATTTTTAGGATTGCCAAAAAAAAAAACATGAGAGTTTTTAAAAAGCTTAATATATTAATATTCCTTATGTTTGGGTTGTTTCTCCTCTGGAAGACTTTTTTTTTATATCACAACAGTACAGTAAATCCATTCTGTTTCCATGATTTTTTTGTCTAATGCTGCTGTTTCTGAAAATTAAAGTGTGATTTTCTTCCAACATAACTGATCATAAGAGTTTAACTGGTCTTTAAAAGGTGTGAATACATACCAGTTAGACCCAGACTAAAGATAAACCTGATGGCTGGTTTGTTTAAATGATAAGGTTTTCTTTCTGCTGTAGAAGAACATCATTATTGTTCACCTTGTCATGAATGGTTCAGTGCTTTGGCTGACAGTGAAGGGTGTGTCCCTTCTGTCTGCCTCGGGTCCCAGCTGTCAACCCCCCACCTCTCCCCAAATCCTCAGTTCAGGGTGGGGCATACAGGCCTCCATCCAGTAGGGTAACCAAACAAAGAAAAAAAGTACTAAAAAAAAAAGAAGCATAAATGAGACAAAAGAAGCAGGTGTGATCCAGATACAGTGTTAAACACAGTGAGCAGCTGTAGCTGAGATCTGATTGGTAAATTAGCCTGATTAATAAGAACACTCATTAAAATAATATGAAAAAATTAATAAAACCTACAATCAACCTTTTTAATATAGCAAAATTATGTACAGCTGTCCATCATTGATGCCTTTTATTTCTATTTTCTAAACTAATAAAATATACTTTGCTGGAAATTGTATCTTTTATATAAAAAAACAACAACAACACATTTGTTTTATACAGTTATATTGTTGGATTGCGAATAGTTATAAGATTAATTTTAAACACTCCATCATGTTGAGTTTTAGGTATTTACTCTAGTTAAAGAAATCAAGGCCAACAATATAAAAGGTGAATTTTCATCCAGAAACATCTGCATCAAAATCTCTATATTTCTTAATTAATTATAGTCAGCTTAATTAATTGGAATAGTTTTTATGTGAAGACTTATTTTTGTTGTTTTCTGTGATACACAGTATTTTTCCAAACTTTGCAATGATGCATTTTAGAAGAATCTTAACCAACTGATGTAAAAGAACGATAAAAAGTCTTTGAACATCACATCTTTATATCTGTTCAATCTTTTAAACATAACATCATAGACAGAACATTAGGTAATATGGGTTTAAATGTCATACTGTCCCCGTTTGACAAAGATAGAACATTAAAGTTACAGAATATCTTTAAAAAAATGTATTTCATTAATATTTTTATGACATTTTTATCCCCTTTTAGATAAAGGATGGGTCTCATATTTACAAGAAAATAAAAAGGGAATTTACAAGAAAAAAAATTATACTTTAATTATCCTGATAGAAAAAATATGTAATAGAAGCAAAGATGTACAGTAATACATAAAGAGCCGCATTTTTTACCTCATTGTTTAGACAATATAAGCTCCAAATAAAAATATTATAAATTATTATTAAATTTACTAATTATAATGTAATCAATAGTTATTATTCTATCATTGTTCATTAGATAAACATAAAAAGATTACATGATTGTGTTATTAAATCTAATGTTATTCTATTTTTTAAGGGTTTAAATAAAAAAATATTAGAAAAACTGTTCAGCTTGTAGAATTATAATTTTCTTTTCTTATATTAAATTTCTTTGTAAACCACAAAATTCCTTTGATCCTACAGCTGGAATAGATTACTTACAATTAAATATGCATTTCATCCAATTTGAATGATAATCAGGTTTTTATTTCAAGGTAATTGAGCTGAATCTTGTCTCCAGCCGGCGGCTGTATCCCAGACCCATCATCAGTGCTGTGCCGAGTAATGGCCAGCAGGGGGAGCTGTTATACTAAACCGTCTCTTTCTCCTTTTGTCTTATATTTAAAATAAATTTTATTTTATTATTCTATTGTATAAAAGTCAGTCAAGTTTAATGTGACGTATATGATTGAGTGTTTTTTTTTTTTTTT